CTAGTCTGTGTCTCTAGTCTAGTGTCTCTAGTCTAGTGTCCTCTAGTCTAGTGTTGCTAGTCTTGTGTCTCTAGTCTAGTGTCTCTAGTCTTGTGTCTCTAGTCTAGTGTCTCTAGTCTAGCTGTCTCTAGTCTAGGTGTCTCTAGTCTAGTGTCTCTAGTCTAGTGGTCCTCTAGTCTTGTGTCTCTAGTCTAGTGTCTCTAGTCTATTGTCTCTAGTCCTAGTGTCTCTAGTCTAGTGTCTCTAGTCTAGTCTAGTGTCTCTAGTCTTGTGTCTCTAGTCTAGTGTCTCTAGTCTAGTGTCTCTAGTCTAGTCTAGTGTCTCTAGTCTAGTGTCTCTAGTCTAGTGTCTCTAGTCTAGTGTTTCTAGTCTTGTGTCTCTAGTCTTGTGTCTCTAGTCTTGTGTCTCTAGTCTAGTGTCTCTAGTCTAGTGTTTCTAGTCTTGTGTCTCTAGTCTAGTGTCTCTAGTCTTGTGTCTCTTAGTCTAGTGTCTCTAGTCTTAGTGTCTCTAGTCTAGTGTCTCTAGTCTAGTGTCTCTAGTCTTGTGTCTCTAGTCTAGTGTCTCTAGTCTAGTGTCCTCTAGGCTTGTGTCTCTAGTCTAGTGTCTCTAGTCTAGTGTCTCTAGTCTTGTGTCTAGTCTAGTGTCTCTAGTCTTGTGTCTCTAGTCTAGTGTCTCTAGTCTAGGTGTTCTAGTCTTGTGTCTCTAGTCTAGTGTCTCTAGTCTTGTGTCTCTAGTCTAGTGTCTCTAGTCTAGTGTCTCTAGTCTAGTGTCTCTAGTCTAGTCTAGTGTCTCTAGTCTTGTGTCTCTAGTCTAGTGTCTCTAGTCTAGTGTCTCTAGTCTAGTCTAGTGTCTCTAGTCTAGTGTCTCTAGTCTAGTGTCTCTAGTCTTGTGTCTCTAGTCTTGTGTCTCTAGTCTAGTGTCTCTAGTCTAGTGTCTCTAGTCTAGTGTTTCTAGTCTTGTGTCTCTAGTCTAGTGTCTCTAGTCTTGTGTCTCTAGTCTAGTGTCTCTAGTCTAGTGTCTCTAGTCTAGTGTCTCTAGTCTTGTGTCTCTAGTCTAGTGTCTCTAGTCTAGTGTCTCTAGTCTAGTGTCTCTAGTCTTGTGTCTCTAGTCTAGTGTCTCTAGTCTAGTGTCTCTAGTCTAGTGTCTCTAGTCTAGTGTCTCTAGTCTAGTATAGTGTCTCTAGTCTTGTGTCTCTAGTCTAGTGTCTCTAGTCTAGTGTCTCTAGTCTAGTCTAGTGTCTCTAGTCTAGTGTCTCTAGTCTAGTGTCTCTAGTCTAGTGTCTCTAGTCTTGTGTCTCTAGTCTAGTGTCTATAGTCTAGTGTCTCTAGTCTTGTGTCTCTAGTCTAGTGTCTCTAGTCTAGTGTCTCTAGTCTTGTGTCTCTAGTCTTGTGTCTCTAGTCTAGTGTCTCTAGTCTAGTGTCTCTAGTCTAGTGTTTCTAGTCTTGTGTCTCTAGTCTAGTGTCTCTAGTCTTGTGTCTCTAGTCTAGTGTCTCTAGTCTAGTGTCTCTAGTCTAGTGTCTCTAGTCTAGTGTCTCTAGTCTAGTGTTTCTAGTCTTGTGTCTCTAGTCTAGTGTCTCTAGTCTTGTGTCTCTAGTCTAGTGTCTCTAGTCTAGTGTCTCTAGTCTAGTGTCTCTAGTCTTGTGTCTCTAGTCTAGTGTCTCTAGTCTAGTGTCTCTAGTCTAGTGTCTCTAGTCTAGTGTCTCTAGTCTTGTGTCTCTAGTCTAGTGTCTCTAGTCTTGTGTCTCTAGTCTAGTGTCTCTAGTCTTGTGTCTCTAGTCTAGTGTCTCTAGTCTTGTGTCTCTAGTCTAGTGTCTCTAGTCTAGTGTTTCTAGTCTTGTGTCTCTAGTCTTGTGTCTCTAGTCTAGTGTCTCTAGTCTAGTGTCTCTAGTCTTGTGTCTCTAGTCTAGTGTCTCTAGTCTTGTGTCTCTAGTCTAGTGTCTCTAGTCTTGTGTCTCTAGTCTAGTGTCTCTAGTCTTGTGTCTCTAGTCTAGTGTCTCTAGTCTAGTGTTTCTAGTCTTGTGTCTCTAGTCTTGTGTCTCCATAGCCTCGTGTCTCGTTAGCCTCGTGTCTCGTTAGCCTCGTGTCTCGATAGCCTCGTGTCTCGTTAGCCTCGTGTCTCGATAGCCTCGTGTCGCCTCGTGTCTCGTTAGCCTCGTGTCTCGATAGCCTCGTGTCTCGATAGCCTCGTGTCTCGATAGCCTCGTGTCTCGTTAGCCTCGTGTCTCGATAGCCTCGTGTCTCGATAGCCTCGTGTCTCGTTAGCCTCGTGTCTCGATAGCCTCGTGTCTCGATAGCCTCGTGTCTCGTTAGCCTCGTGTCTCGATAGCCTCGTGTCTCGTTAGCCTCGTGTCTCGATAGCCTCGTGTCTCGATAGCCTCGTGTCTCGTTAGCCTCGTGTCTCGTTAGCCTCGTGTCTCGATAGCCTCGTGTCTCGATAGCCTCGTGTCTCGTTAGCCTCGTGTCTCGATAGCCTCGTGTCTCGATAGCCTCGTGTCTCGTTAGCCTCGTGTCTCGATAGCCTCGTGTCTCGATAGCCTCGTGTCTCGTTAGCCTCGTGTCTCGATAGCCTCGTGTCTCGTTAGCCTCGTGTGCCGTGTCTCGATAGCCTCGTGTCTCGATAGCCTCGTGTCTCGATAGCCTCGTGTCTCGATTAGCCTCGTGTCTCGACCTCGTGTCTCGTTAGCCTCGTGTCTCGATAGCCTCGTGTCTCGTTAGCCTCGTGTCTCGATAGCCTCGTGTCTCGATAGCCTCGTGTCTCGATAGCCTCGTGTCTCGTTAGCCTCGTGTCTCGTTAGCCTCGTGTCTCGATAGCCTCGTGTCTCGATAGCCTCGTGTCTCGTTAGCCTCGTGTCTCGATAGCCTCGTGTCTCGTTAGCCTCGTGTCTTGTTAGCCTCGTTGTCTTCTGGTGACCTGTTATAACACACCTGTGCACTTAGAGAGACTTCCTGTCTGTAAACACCTGACGCACGCCATCTGTGCAGGTGAGCTCCTGACAGACGGAGCTGAGGGTAAAACAAAGAGCCTCCTGAGAGGACCTCAGCTGTTAATTAAAACCTGACAATCCCCAGAGAAGAAGAGCAGTGTTTTTAGAAACCGGCCTGACACCACAGAAGAAGAAGCGGGTGGATGGAGTCAGCAGCAGGTAGGAAGACGGAGACCGAAAACATAGAAATGATTTTAATGATATATTTATATATGTTTGTATTTCAACTTCTTTCAGTGTTTTAATAGATCACAGATTACTGTTGTTTTTAATGTAGTTCTCTACAGCAAACAGAAACATGGGG